AAAATGAGAGGTTCAACAGTAGCTTTGATTAGACATAATATTACTATTTAGTTTCGTGCTACACATACATGGTGCAGCACTCTTCAGATAAAATAGCCTATATGTATATATAAATCTTGTGGTAAATACTAATATAAATAAATTAATTAACAGGCTTATATACAGTGTACATAAATAATAATATTTTGTGTATATAATAATAAAATAATTATATCGTGTTTGCGTGCTACTCAGCAAACCTGTTTGTATGTAGGCCTACATATAATATTAGGTGCATAGATAATAAATATATACAATGCAATTTATTAGCTATACCTACAGTTGCATTTTCAGCTGACTCGTAATATCGTAGTTCGTGGCCTTCTAGTTCGAACCATCTTCTCTTTGTGCCCTGTTGTCATGCGTAATATAGAAATATAAGCAGTTAAAATGATTTCATTTCCAAGTGACGTCAGGCCACAAAGAAAAAAAATATAAATTCAATTCAACTTATTCATTTATTGTCATAATAATTAACGCTGGTATGGTAGTAGGCGCTCAAAGGAAGGCTTTTTTCCGGGGATGAGTGCACTTCGTCCCCCCCCCCCGCTTCCCCGTAGATATGCCAACACCCAGCGACTTCCCTCACTGTTTACTCCACTCCATATGCGTCAACGAGACTGCATCAAAACAAAGCAAAGGCCGATCAAGCCATTTCAAGTGATGAAGTAACTGGCTGTGGTGTAACCCACCTGTAAAGTAGGCCGTATTAACAGTTATAACATACAGAATTTAAGACTGGGTTTACTTACATATTTTACAGATAGCCTCTTCATTCCCGTTTTCATTTCTTTGACTTTTGTAAGATACCCTTTCATGTTGACGTCCATCCTGTCTATAACTAGCTACAGACTGATTACTAAACGTGTTATGCTACCGATTAACAAATTATTTTTTGCTTTAACTGGTTAACCATTTCCTGGATACAGAACGACGAATAATGTTCTCACCTACGCGTGTCTAGCAGACTGTCGTAAAATTTTACGTTATTAAAATGTATAGTTTTAAATTGGAACAAGTGTCCGATGTTAAATTCACTTCTGGTTTCACAATAAGCTATTTCGAATAATTTTCAGATGTTTTATCTACTCGAGACAAGTGGACGTACCCGGAAATAAATTGTGTACTACGGTACAATCGTTGTATTTTGTTATCGTGGTTGAGCGACACTTAACAATAGCGATTGTTTCGAATTCTGTCGCTGTTGTTGATTCAACCTACTAAAATTATTATATTTGCTAGAGATTTTTTCGACTCTTTATCAAACCAATAAAGACTGACCTTTTGACTGACACAGTTTCGATGTTCATTTCACGAACATCATCTGCAGAAATCGAAAAAAAATCGTATCTTACAAATATTATTATAATATATTAATTAATATATTAATATAATATTATTATAATACATTAATTAATATATTAATATATACTAATATAATATTATTGTAATATATTTGCTGCTTTATTTTTATTTTTATTTTATTTTATTTCCAACATCATCCAACAGCAAAAAGCCTATTACAGGATGTCTTAAATAGGATACTGTACATATTATAAATATAAAAAATTTTACAAAAGAACATCCAAGACTAAAAATTGCAGATAGGCCTACAAAAATTATATTTTCAGCTGACCTAGGCCTAATATTTTCAATCCTCTAAGTCATTATATCCTCCGGGTCCAAATTGCAATAAAGTTCTATTCTGTCCAGTGGCGTAACAGGCGGGGGGAGGGAGAACGATTTTTTTGACCGGGCTGAACTAGCCGTCGTTCCGGGCTGGGTAATAAGAGAAATGAAAGAGGGGAGAGGGAGCAGTGGCGGCTCTAGGATATATTTTCTTGGGGAAGGGGGGCTAAATTGTCCGACAGGGGGAGTTAAGCTCGTAGGCTCGAGCTGGAGAAAGGGGTTGAGAGGAAGTTCCCCCTCGCAAATGAGATTTTTAAAGGAATATCAGCTTGACCTGTCCGGTGGGGGGGGTGTAAGTCACCCTGCCCCCGCTGGCTCCGCCACTGAGGGAGGGAAAGAGAAAGAAGAGGAAGAGAAAAGGAAAGTAAAAAGGAAAAGAGGAGAGAAAAATAAAGACAAGAATAAAAAGGAAGATATCATAATGACCAGACTCACAACACCCTGCAACCTCTTCTCCACTTAACTCCTTTGATCTAAGCTGCCAGATGGCGTAGGATAGCCACCGGGGAACAAGGGGAAAATATCTATCTTTGGAAAATCTTTCCCACCCCTTTATAAATGCAATTTTTTGTCCCCTGAAAGTGCCTAAAAATCTTAAATTTCGCATTTCTTGTCAGAGTAGGCCATTTCCTCTAAAAATTGCACATTTTAGGGATTTTGGATCAATTCCGACGAAATTAGAATTAAAAACACCGGGGGGCAAGGGGAAAATATCCATCTTTGGAAAATCTTTCCCCACCCCTTGATAAATGCCCTTTTCATCCTCTGAAAGTGTTTAAAATTCTCAAATTTCGCGCGCTTCCCGCACATTTCTTGTTACGGTAGGCCAATTTCCTCTATAAATTGCACATTTTAGGGAGTTTTGATCAATTTTGACAAAATTAGAATTACAAACACAAAAACTTGTTGCGCGCTTCGCGCGCATTTACCAGGTTTTTTTTAAGGGTTATCATTTTAAGTTATTTAACCACATAATAGTCCCCAAACTCAAGAATGAGTTTAACCTAAAAGAAGGGCCTCAATGTGTATTGATGGTGAAAGAATATGTTATAAATAAAAACATGATGAAAATGCTTATATTTAGTTTCAAACACACGTGTGTGGCCTATATTATAAATAAGATAAGCCCTATGTCGTATTGTTTTCTATGGGGAGGGGGGTGCAAGCCCGTAGCCAGGATTTTGGTAGGGGGTTCTTTTTGATACTGAAAGGGCACTTGCGAGCACCACTGGCTGGGGCCAAGGGCCACCAGGGGCCCCGGGGGTCCAGGGTCAAAACCCCGGTGGGGGTCCAGCATTCTAAGCATTTACATTTGTTATTTAATTGATTTGAGAGGCCATACATTGAAAGAAATATATATATATTAAAGAGGTAAGTTTTTGAGTTTGGAAAAGATAAAAAAGACAAAAAAAAAAAAAACTACTACTTTAGTACTACAGTATTGGTAATTTAACAACAGTAGCATGATACAAACTCCAAAGAATCCAGTATGG